ACCGCCGAAGGGGTCGAGGAACAGGTTCCAGGGCTTTTTTCCCTCACGTGGCGCGGGGTGGTGGTTACCTGTAGGGGGGGGGACTCCCCCTCGAAGCAATAACCGCCTCCCCACCTGCCTTCCTGTCCTCCACGCCAGAAGTCGCGTCGAGCAACATTAGTGTTCTCTCTCTTCGTACTGTATTTTGTTTAATATTTTTGCAGTTTAAAAAAAAAACATATGGTTCAAAACGGATTAACCGTAATTACATTGAACCTTATGGGGAAATTTGATTCAGGTCGCAACCAATTTGGGTTGCGACCAGAGTCGTGGAACGAATTAAGTTCGTGAACCGAGGTACCACTGTATTCTGAGCTCTGAATGCACATTCTGAATGATCCAAGCTTGGAAGAATCCTTCTGAGATGACCATGGGATGTTTTTGTTACTTTTGACATGTAACTTTTGACAGTGTAGTATTTATTTTTTCTTTAAAAATATTTTGTTACTTCAAAGTAATTAACAGACACACACACAGAGTACAGAACACATATAATATTACATCAGAGTGCAATAGAACTGCATAAAGTTTCTTCAAAATCTAAACTTGCAACTTTAAAGTTTAAAAATGTTGGGCAAAGAAAAGTCACAGCTGGTCTACATAGTATGTCATCAAAAGGCTTCAGTCTGACAGGATCTTATTTACATTAACTTTACTTGAAAAGAAGGGGGGAAAAGCTGAGTGGTGGGAAAGACCAGAGGTGGCTCCACTCATCTTCATACCTCAAAACCTTGCATTTTGACATTGCATAACTAGTTTTTTTCCTTCTTAAAATTTGATCTCCTTATACCTCTCACCATGTAAATGTTTAAACTGACAAATTGTTGGGACAAATAGTCTTGATTTTACTATGTTCGTAATGTTTAGATATTATCAATCAGGATACTAAAACAATAGTATCAATAGTATTAAATTGGTTTTAATGTTATTAAGCATTAGTATTAGACAATAGTATTAAATTGGTTTTAATGTTGTTCAAAGAGAATACACAATGCTATTTTTGTAGTTATAGATCTTGTTTTCAGTGTAAGGTACATATTTCAGTTTTCATATGTTAGTGATATTGGCAACTTGCAACTGCTTTAATAACTAAGATAAAGCACAACCTTGTGTTTTCAGTATGTTATTTTAATTTTAATTTTTGAAAGGTAGCAGAAAAGAAAATAATAAAGAAAGACAGTGCCATTTCTTCCTTGGAAAAGGACAATACAGTTTTGCAGAATAATCAACATGTCAAACAAGAAGAATCAAAAATTCAGGCCACTGAGGTTTGTAAATTTCAATTTTGAGTTATGGGTTTGAATGTATGGAAATTATATATCTTAAGAGAAAGGCGTTTGGATGTTCAATAACCATTAGTAAGTAGGCATATCTTCAGGTTGAAGAGTTTGTATATACATACTTGCCTATTGTGCTGTTCCCTTTTTGGGTAAGCAACACTGGTCACAATGCAGAAAATGAGTAGGAAATGGTAAACCAATAGTAAATTGGGTTTTTTTTAAAGATTTTTTATCCTGCCTTTATTATTTTTAGAAATAATTCAAGGTGGTGAAGATACCTAATACTCTTCCTCCTCCTATTTTCCCCACAACAACACACCCTGTGAGGTGAGGGGGACTGAGAGTAACTGGCCCAAAGTCACCCAGCCAGCTTTCATGCCTAAAGTGGGACTAGAACTCACAGCCTCCTGGTTTCTAGCCTGGTGCCTTAAACCACTAGACCAAACTGGCTCTAGTTTATACCAGCTCCATTCACTATACCTCTCTATATCTTTCTGTCCTTAAAAAACTTCCTTGCTTCAACTGCATTCATACACTTTTTCATAGATTGCTTTTCTTTGAATTTCTAATATCTTTTTCTGCACCTCAACAACTCCATCCACCATCACTACTTCTTGGTCTTCTTTCCTCTCAGGTCATTCACTTTTCCTTCATATATAGTTTTGCAATGTGGGCCTCATAAAGTCTCTCTATATGACCAAAATTACCTCAGCGTCCTACATTCATACTGGTCACTTACTTTTTTATTTACATTCATTCATCACCTATTTTCTTTAACCTGTCTCTTCTTGTTTTACTACAGATACTTAATTATCTTTTCATTTCTCCTGACATACCCAATTCTTACTTCCATATAAGAAAGTTCATCTTTGTTGCCCTCCTCTGAACCTGTTCTAACCCATCAATATCCTTCTGGAAATGTGGTACCTAGGATTATACAAGTGTTGTGCTGAGTAGAGAGAAATAATGACTTCATGTGTCTATGGTATGATGCTTCTTCTGATACAGCACAGAACTGCATTAGTTCTTCTAGTTTCATTCTTCTGATTCATGTTCAGCTTCTTGTCAATGACCACACTGAAGTCCTTTTCAGGTGTAATGTTTCTGTAGAGAGTAGAGGAGGTGACTTTGACAGAAACATGCGAGCCCATTACCTAGGCAGTAGGGGCTGAAGCGTTCTTTAAGTGCTGGGAAACAAGATAATATTCAGAAGCGGCAAGATTAAGCCTATCTCAGTAAAATGTAATTCTGGTCTTCGTGTGGAATTGATTTTCTAGTCTGTTCTACCTAGTGGGGCTGACAGTTTCCAACTACCTCATGCAGCAACTGTTCGAAATTACAGTGGTTAAAAAAAAACAATTTTGCAACCAATCCTCACATTTACAACCATTACAGCATCCCGCAGCCACCTGATCGCCATTTGCATGCATGCGTGTTCACTTGCAACAAGCAGAGTTAATACAGATGGACCGCATAGGTGAATCTTTCACGACAAAATTTATATATCTAAAAGGATTTCACAGAGGCTGGCAAGGTAGAAGTTTCTGCAAATAAGCATGCCAGGTACAATATGGATAGCAGGGATCATGGCAAAAAGTATTTTCACAGAGATATATACCATTTCATGGTAGCAGTCTACAATATAGCACTTTTCAACGTTCCCATTTTCAAGAGAGATGTGCTAGCTCGAGTGAGATTTTTGTCCTGGATTTATAACGGTATAATCTTCTAAGTATACTTTATCTTCCCCTTGCTTCCTGAGCACTCTCCCTCCCTCCCTCCCTCTCACACACACACAGAGTTCTCTGGCAAGAGTCACTCCCACTCGTCTTCTGTTGTGCTCACCTGCGGCACTCTCCTACCCACCCACCCGCACTCCTTGGAACTAGCATGCCTGCATTCTGTAGTGCTCACCTATGGCACCCACCTAGAGTTCTTAGCAGCCACCTGTGGCATGCATCCATCTGTCCTTAGCTCTCACTCACCAGCCTGCTTGCATGAGATTCCCACCTCTTCCTACACTGAGGTCATGTGAGGTTCTCAATTAATGACCCGCATAGTCCTGGGGTTAAAACGGCAACCAGGGCTGCCGGAATTGCCATTGCTAAGCGATGCAGTTGCTTGATACATGATATCATGCTTTGTGACTGCATTGCTTAGAGACAAAAATTCTGGTCCCAATTGCTGTCATAATCTGAGGACTACTGTATGTTGGTGTTTGTGCATGTGTGTGTGTGAGGAAGATGGAGGGAGGGTGTGCTTCTATGAGAGCATTTTTGTGTAGGTTTTGTGGAGGAGGATGGGAAGGCAAGGAGGGAGAAGATGTGAATGGTTCAGTGCTGAGCGTGGATGCAGTGTCTGCCTAGAGAGTGCAAACAATCATCCCACATCCAGAAGCCTTACAAAGGGCACCAAAAGTTACCGTATTTATCGGGGTATAACACGCACAGACGTATAATGTGCACCTTAATTTTAAGAGGGAAGTTTGAGTAAAAAACCTTAAATTTAAAATAAATGTCTTGGAAGCAAAATAAAGGGAGCTCTGAACTTTTTGTTTAATATTTATACCACTTATAAGGTAAATACGTAATATGAAAGAAAAAGTACCTCTTTGAACTCCCCATCGCTCGCGCTCATGGCTCATGCCTGAGCTCCACAGAGCAGGAGGTGCACGGCGGGGGAGCGAGCAAAAACCTGCGCTCCCCTGAGCTCTGCAGAGCAGGAGGTGAGTGGTGGGGGAGCGAGCGAAAACCAGCGCTCTCCTGAGCTCTGCAGAGCAGGAGGTGAGTGGCAGGGAGTGAGTGAAAACCTGCACTCCCCATCACTCGCGCCTGAGCTCTTCAGAGCAGGAGGTGAGCGCTGGTTTTCACTTGCTCGCCCATCGCTCACCTCCTGCTCACCTCTTGCTCTGCAGATCTTGGGCTAGCGCGAGCAATGAGGAACCCTGGTTTTCGCTTGCTGCCCCACCGCTCAGGCGCGAGCGATGGGGACCACAGGTTTTCGCTCAGTCCCCCACCTGCTCTGCGGAGCTGCCCTGGTTACAGCCCTGGCTCAGATGAAAGCTCCAGTCTCCCAGCCCTGCCGCTTGAGTATCGGCATATAACATGCAGCTAGGATTTCAGCCCCAAATTTTAGGGGGAAAAGTGCATTATACTGCCGATAAATGCGGTACTTAAAATAAGTATAGAAGGCATTAGTAAGATCGTAAGTTGTGTCCATGTTATTTTTTTGCTTAGCGACCGAGTTGCCAGTCCCAATTGTGGTCACTAAGCGAGGACTACCTGAATACACTATGATTTTTCTCTCTTAATGTAATACCTTACATTTTTCCTGTTAAAGAACTTCTTGCCCCAACCTGTTCAGATTAGATTGTAATGTTGTTCTGTCATTCTGGGGGTTGCCAGACCTCTAAATTTTGTGTCATCTGCAAATCTGTTAAGTAGCTGATCAATCCTATCATCCAAGCCATTGATAAAAATGTTGAATAGTACTGGCTCCAAGACTGATCCCTGCAGAACCCCATTAGTAACTTTTCCAACTTGATGTAGAGTTTTAATTCTGATTCTCTGAGTATGGTTAGCCAGCCAGTCATGGACCCACTTTGCTGGAGTGGCTTCCAAACCACACTTTAACAGCTGTTCAGTGAAAATGTCATGTAGAACCGTGTCAGACATTTTGCTGAAATCAAGGTAGATTATATTCATAGCATTCCCCTTGTCAATCAGAGTAGTTACCCTGTCAAAGGAGATAAGATTTGTTCACATGATTTATTTTTTGACAAAACCATGCTGAACCAAGATGCTTACAAATGGCCAGCTTTATTTCCTGCTTGTAACATCTTTCTAAGTATTTAAATGTTAAGCTCATTGGTTGATAATTACTGGGATCCTCTTTTTCTCCTTTCTTGATGAACGGAATCACATTTCCTTTTATCCAGTGCTCTGCTACCTCCCCTGCTCTGAAGGACTCCTCAAAGATAATTGAACAAGGCCCTTTGTTCTGATCATTTTTACAGCATTCTCATACTTGTGCTTTTTTCCTATCCATAGCCTTTTGCATTCTCCCAAACATCTTTTTTTCATTCTTTCTGTTAGCTATGTTAGGATAAATCACATTTTTACTTATATCTAATATGTCTTAGAAAAATCCACTGCTCTTGATATAAGTAAACATAAGGCACTTCCTTTTTTCATTAGAAAACTGCAAGCAACTGCTTTACTGGCATTTTAATTTTTGGTATGTTTTAACTAGGAATCCTCCATTGATTACTAGAGTTTCCTCCGAGCTTCAGCTTGTAGATGCATCTTGCAGTTCCTAAATAATGCATATCTGATTGAATTAGTTGTTTTATTTTTCCCCTTTGGAAAAAACAGATTTCTAGATAAGACTAAAAATTGCCCTGCAAGGGTAAAAAGCACTGTGGGAGGTCATCCTTTCTGTGCCTGTTTAGTGTTGCTGCTATTTTGCATAACAACTTCCATTTTTCCTGATCCCTGTTAAATCTTTTCTCCCAGTATGTATTTGCTTCACCTACTGCCACTAACAATAACATTTATTTTACTGTATAAGGGACATTTGGAAATTAGCCCAACAGATAAACTGTCTGGAAGAAATTCTACTATGAAGCCACCATCAAAGGCACCATATCATGTGCCGGATGACATAAAGCATACCAAAGTAGCCTCTACAAATACTACAGAGATGGGAGTCAGTTTTGATTACCCCATGAAAGCAGACACTTTGCAAAATGCCAACAAGGTAATTTGATAATGAAAAATCTCTATAAATATGATTATTTTAATGAACTTGTTCTAGTTTCCAGATGGTATTTCAAAACTATCTGAAATCAAAAACTCATTTCAAAACTATCTGAAATCAAAGAGAAACTGTGAAGAAAAGTACTTCACTCTAGACCCTCTTCAGTTACCCTATTCTGATGTATAAATTTGTTTAGCTGGATTCTTTCCTCTTACCTCAATATGATAAGTACAAATTTCAAAATAGTACTGCTTCTGTTAAAGATATGGCATTGCCTGCCCTTTCTGCTTGTTAAATTGTGCTGCTTCTTATTTTGTGTCCTTACTAACCCAAATTACAGGGGAGAATCAAAGTGAGTGGGAAACGAAGGCCACCAACCAGAACTGCCAGGCGATTAGCTGTTGAAGAGTTTAATAAAAATGAAATGAATATCACAGAGGACCCATGTCTACCTCTCTTAAAAGGAAATTCTGGGCCACCAGCTATATTATATAATAGTGAACTGCATAGAAAGGAAAATACTGAAAAAGCTTGCGTGGTTCTATCAGCCAACAGCAGCAACCAACCTAATGAGTCAAAATATAGCCCTCTTTTAAAATCAACAGCCTATTCTGATGTGGATGATCTCTTTGAGTCCAACAATCTTTTTACCAAGGATAAAGACTCTAAAGCAGTCTTAAAACCAAAGGCAACACTGGAAACTGAGGGCATTGTAAGCCAGGCCTCAAAAAGTGAGAAATTGTCTGTTGCATCAGCACAATATAGTACAAGTTGCGATGACCTCTTTCAGTCTGGAAAGACATTAAGGAAAGCCAGTCCTGTCCCTTTCCTGGAGGACAAACAGGATGTCTTCACCACTAGTAAGAAAACTGTGAAGAGAAAAGAACGGGAACTCACATCTCAGTTACCTCAGAGTTCTCCAATCCATGACATTTTTGAGGTAATTTTGAAAGTTTTTCTCTTCAGACTTGGATTCTTCTTACTTTGTACTGTGCTTGTTTTGTTTGTTCTATAGGCATTAGTAGTGCTGGGAAAAACAACTTAGGATGAACATCTCTTAAATGGTTACAAAAAAGTGAATAGGCTAGGATAGATAATAATGAGGATAGGATAGAATTGGAATCTTTGTTTTAAAAAATAATGAAGATATTTAACCTGATTGTGCTTATTTCTTCCTTAACTTTTTTTTTTAATCTTATTTTTTCACATTGTCCTGTGTAATTTCTAAGTCAACGCCTACAAAAATTCAGCAGGAAACTTTGATTTAATTTGCATACTGTTAGGATCTTGGTGTTCTCTGAGCTTTGTTGTGTTCCTGCAGATCTTTATTTGCCAGGATAGGTAACATCATCAGCGCAGGGGAGAATGGAGTTTGTTGGCTGTTTGTACATAGTAGCTTGCCCTGCCTGTCTTGCTTGGGGTGTGATTTCTTCCTTGATGGTTCCTTGATTAGAATACTGTTTCTCCTGATTGTTACCTGGTGCTGTTTCCCATGTATCTGTATGTTGGTTGCTAATGTAAGGTTTGCCCCGTTCGACAGAGAAACTCTCGTGACACATGTGGTTCACAAAGAAGGTTTACTCATGCGTAACGTAG